CTCTAGTATCTGTTCTCCGGTCCATTTACTCTTTTAAAAAGTTATCCGGCTTGCTTTTCTTGTAATGCTTTTTTAAACTTTTAACCTTTGTTATACTTTTTTAAAAGAGATTTATTGATTTACTTAATTTTTTTGTTGTTGTTGTTGAGACAGAGTTTTGTTCTGTCGCAAAGGATGGAATGCAATGGTGCGATCTCAGCTCACTACAACCTCCGCCCCCCTGGGTTCAAGCGATTCTCCTGCCTCAGCCTCCCTGAGTAGCTGGGATTACAGGCATGCACCATCATGCTCAGCTAATTTTTGTACTTTTAGTAAAGACAGGGTTTTACCATGTTGGCCATGCTGGTCTCGAACTCCTGACCTCAAGTGATCCGCCCGCCTCGGCCTCCCAAAGTGCTGGGATTACAAGCGTGAGCCACCACACTCAGCCTCTTTGTTATACTTTATTTGCAACTTTCCCTATACACTTTTTTTCTTAAGAAGCAGGAAGGCCATCACTAAATAAATACACACTTAGGTGTGGATCTATATGGATAATACATGTATGTGTAGATGTATTTATATGTATATATAAAAATACAGGTATACATGGAAATGTGGTATATCAATTCAGTCAACAAATATTTATTGAGCATCTACTAATTGCACGGTAGTAGTGCTGGGGATAAACAATGGAAAAGGTAGATAAGGAACTCTCGTGGAGTTTACAGTCTGAGGGGCAGGGAAGACAAACAATAAATAACTAACCTAGCAGGGAAATCAGTAAAATACCTACAGATCATGCGAAGTCCTAGCAGGAAACACTAAGGTGTTATGGTGAAGAATAACAGGAAGGGTTTAAATAGGGTAGTTAAAGAAGGCTTCCTGGAGGAGGAGATTTTTATGTTGAGAACTACATGATGAGGGTGAGCCAACTCTGAGATAAACTGAGGCAAGAGTCCCAGGAATAGGAATAAAAAGAGCAAAAGCCTTGAGGTGGTGAAACCTGGGCTTGTCTTGGAAACAAGACAGGACTGCTGGAGACTGCTAAGCTGAGGCTGAGAAAGAGCAGGCAATGAGATTGCAGAGGCAGGTGGGGCCAGATCACAGAGTCTCATGGGCCCTGATAAGGAATTGAACTTTGTGCCAGGGACATTGGGGAGTCCCTAAATGACTTTACATATATGGGGACTCGGCAGCTTTTGGGGTGTGTGTGTGTGTGTGTGTGGACTGGTGCTTGAATGTGCACGTGGACATGTACTTGCATTTACATATTATCCATGTATGTAGGTGGTGACAGACATGGAACCGTCCTACATAATCCCCCAAAGAGTTTTCATTGCGGGAATAGACCCTTCTTGGATTCCTCAGTGGGAGACTTTCCTAAGCATTCTATTAACGCAGGGGAGGGCAAGAGGGACCACAGACACCGCTACTCCCTTCCTGCTTCCGGGTCTGAGAGTATAGTCAGGTACCCGCCTAACCTGAACTTTCCCACCTCTTTAGAGAAGGGAAGAAAGGAGTGGTCGCTCACAGTAGCTGCAATGAAAGCACTTCTAACTGGTTCCAGCTCCCTCAAGGTGGGAGGTGCAGAGTCCAGGTTACAGGGATGGGAATTGGCAGCACAAAAAGGAACACCTGGTCCATCTCTAGAGAAGCTTCTACAGACATTTCTGTTAGTGGGGCAATGAAGAAAGAGGTGACATTTCAGCTTCCATAGAGAACATTCCTCAGCACTGGGATTCTCCACTAGGGAGCCAGGGAGTGATAGGGAAGGAGGAAGAGGAAGGAGAAATTGACTGCACCACCCCATGCCTACCATATGGAGAAGAAAGTTGGAAAAATGACAGGCAGCCAGGAAACAAGATAACTGGGGACAACAAGGGAATTCCCTGCCCCTTCTTGCCTCCTGGGACTAAGAAGGTGAAGATGTACCTAGAAGACCCTCGAGATGAAAAGCAGGGAGACAGGAGGAGGGGAAGGAAAGGGTCTGAGAGGCTCACCAATTCCTTGTGCTCCTCAGTGAGACTGGAGGGCAGGGTGTCCATGTAGGAATCCTTCAGAGGCTTCCAGCCTAGCTGATGGGGCTCCATGTAGATCATTCCACACCTGGGAAACACAGAGGACCAGTCTAGGTGCTTGCTTGTTTGTTACTAATAAGGGTTAACGTTTATTGAGCATCTACTGCATGTCAGGCACCATGCTAGGCATTAATGGATCTTGACAATAACCTAGTCCCCTGGGTTTACCCACCTTGAATCCTGTGTTCATCTGCCCCTTGATTTCTTTCCTTCATATACAGTTTTATGGCATTTCTATATGTTCCTAAAATGTTTGTTTGTCTGGAGACAGTGTATTACTCTGTTGCCCAGGCTGGAATACAGTGGTGCAATCTCGGCTCACTGCAACCTCCGCCTCCCTGGTTCAAGTGATTCTCATTTCTCAGCCTCCACCTGGCTAACTTTTTTGTATTTTTAGTAGAGATTGGGTTTTGTCTTTAGTACAGACAGGGTTGGCCAGGCTGGTCTAGAACTCCTGGCCTCAAGTGATCCACCCACCTGGGCCTCCCAGAGTGCTGGGATTACAGGTGTGAGCCACCGGTCTGTTCCTAAAGGGTTTATATTTTTACTTTAGTTGTTTTTAACAATTTAAAAGGGGTACCATGCTATAGATAATATTTTGATCTTACTTTTATTACTATATAATAATAATATAGTATATAATAGCATATAACCATACAGTATATATA